TTCGCCTTTGCTGGGCTACGTGCTCTGCCCTTGTCTCTGGGCGGGTTCTGTCTTTGACAGTTGAAGTGATCCTGCCAGTTTCTGGGTGCTGGCCTTATGGGGTTGGTGGCTTCCATGTCTGGTCTCTGGCTGGCTCTGGAGGGTTCCTCAAAGCTGCCGTTCCCCAGCAGACAGGCAGCATCAGTTGCCTACCATGTGAATGGGTCTTGTGGGCTTGAGCCCTTGCCTCCCATGACTGCCACCCCAGCCAACATCTGAAACCCAAGTGAGAACAGCCTAGCTGAGCCCGACGAACCCTCAGCACTGAGAGAGATGATAGGAAGTTACTGTTTAAGCCATTAAGTTTTGGGGAGGTTCACGTTGCTGTCTAGCACACAGCTGGCAATCAGCAACTATTTATTCAATGAATGAATGACTGAGTGAGTGGTGTAAATGCGAATCTTTGCCACATTTCCTAAATATGACACCTGAATACTTCAAGACAAATCTTACAGAACAGGGCTTACAGAATGCTAGTCTGAGAAACAATCAATGAGAAGATTGAAATGGTAGAGTCTGGGAAATATTGGTCGAGTTATGTCCTTCTGTTATAGATTAGAAAAGTGAGCCAGACAGGTCAAGAGAATTACCCAAGAAAATAAAACTAATTGTTAGACTCCACCTATGAACGAATTTCCTTTCCTAGCTAAAGTAAAGGGTATGGATACAATGGTTTCCCTCCCATAGCCACATTTTAGCTAATTAAATAGATCAGGCTTCTAACTTGGTAGCCCTTTCTTTCTGTTCCATGATAAACTCTTTGTGTCCAACTAGCTATTTTCCATGCGACCTCTTTTACGTGGCAGACTTCCAAAGATGATATAAGAATATGAATTAGACTAGGCACAGTGGCTCACACCTGTAATCCCAGAACTTTGGGAGGCCAAGGCGGGCAGACCACTTGAGGCCATGTTTTCGACACCAGCCTGGCCAACATGGTAAAACCCCATCTCTACTAAAAATAAAAAAAATTAGCCGGGTATGGTGGCGCACAACTGTAATCCCAGCTACTTGGGAGGCTGAGGCAGGAGAATCGCTTGAACCCACAAGACGGAGGTTGCAGTCAGCTGAGCTCGTGCCACTGTGCTCCAACCTGGGCGACAGAGCGACAGTGCAAGACTCTCTCAAAAAAAAAAAAAAAAAAAGAATATGTATTAGTCTAAAGTCTAGATTAAGCATTCTTAAAATAGCAGAATCCATAGCAACATCTTGGGTCTTTGGTTTTAAAACATTTGCCTGGGCTTGGCGCGGTGCCTCATGCCTGTAATCCCAGCACTTTGAGAGGCCGAGGCAGGTGGATCACCAGAGTTCAGGAGTTCGAGACCAGCCTGACCAACATGGAGAAACCCTGTCTCTACTAAAAATACAAAATTAGTTGGGTGTAGTGGCGCATGCCTGTAGTCCTGGCTACTCGGGAGGCTGAGGCAGGAGAATCGCTTGAACCTGGAGGTGGAGGTTGTCGTGAGCCAAGATCACGCCATTGTACTCCAGCCTGGGCAACAAGAGTGAACTCCGTCTCAAAAAAAAAAAAAAAAAAAAAAAAAAAAAAAAAAAAAAAAAAAAATTGCCTGATGGAAATCCTTGTTTAAAACTGAAATGTCTGGAAGAAGAGATTTTCAGCAGAACTAGATAGTGGTGAGGAATCCAGATTTTAAAATTCTTTCAGTCTTATGTTACAAATTTCATTTCTCTTCCTCCATATGAGAAGTAAATAATATGATCTGATTTTAAAACAATATAGTGAAGAATGTTAACACTAACCAGGTCAAAATCTAGGGTATTCCATTTTACTTTTCTTTTTCTTTCTTTTTTTAGACAGAGTCTCGCTCTGTCGCCCAGGTTAGAGTGTAGTGGTGCGATCTCAGCTCACTGCAACCTCTGCCTCCCAGGTTCAAGTGATTCTCCTGCCTCAGCCTCCCGAGTAGCTGGGATTATAGGTGCATGCCACCACGCCCACCTAGTTTTTGTATTTTTAGTAGAGACAGGATTTTACCATGTTGGCCAGGATGGTCTCGATCTCCTGACCACATGATCCGCCCACCTCGGCCTCCCAAAGTGCTGGGATTACAAGCGTGAGCCATGGCACCTGGCCTCCATTTTTACTTTTCAAATACTATTACAGCCTATACCACCACTTCCTAATCAAGTCTCCAAAGCCAAGAACCACTTCAATATCAGTTGAAAAAAAGTTTTACCTAATTATCTTCATTCCCTACTTTGAATTGACCAACCATGTATCTTTTTCTGGTTTTATCAAAGGGGCTTCCAGGACAAAAGCACATCCAATTTTAAGTAGGCTTTAGTTAGCAGACTTAAAATTGATCATGCATTTTAGTTTCAGTAACTTGCAATTTCTATACCCTTTGATAATTCACTTTAAAGAGCAAGCCATCTTTAATGACAAGGCTTAAAAGAGACGACCTTTCTGAACAAAATATGAAAGCTCAGAAGAGATAGTTCTTTTAAGGAAACTATGAATTAAAATGACCTTGTGTTCTGAAACTTTTCTCCCACCATTTTTGATGTTTTACCTTTCCTTTTTACTCTTAGAAAGAAAGCTAAAACACCACTGCCTTCTATGGATGGTGATGCACTTCAATAAGAGAGCTGTTAATTGTTAATTCCAACTCACAGTTCCTTCTGTCTGCACTGTCTCTGCAGATGCCTTTAATGAGGTTGCTCACCACTATAAGCATATACCCGTTTCTGAAGAAATCACTGTTGATATGTGACATTACAGGATAATGTTTGAATCTGAGCTATTTCCCTTGAATCACAGTCAATTCTTTTGTACAGTCTTAGAAGCAAGTCTGTCATTCTCTGTTCCCTCTTAGTCTTCCTGTTTTCTTCATTATGCCCCTGATGGCTGCCCTCTGTGAAGTTCATTGGTGAATGGGGAGGTTGCAAAATCAGAGCTCAGACCCCTGAAAGGGTGCACTGCTTGGTGATGCAGAAATGGTGGACTTGAACAAAATTGTGACATACATGGATGACTGAATAGCTAACTTTGCTGTTCGCCCTTCTCTTCCCTGACCCTGTAAGTGGATGACAACAAACACCAAGAACCCGGGGTTGCAGACTGTTTCTTCTGCTTGGCTTATTCCAAACCCTTTACCAACCACTACCTGTTGACAATTACTTGTTGGAATAGAAAAAGCACAGGTGGATGACTCCGGTACAGCAGCCAATAATGATAACTTGAGATGTAACAAAATTAGGTACTTGTGATGAACAATTGCTCTTCCAGCAGATAAAAGAACGGATGGAATCTTAGATGATTTTATAATAAGGCACGGTGTTTATAATTTATTTCCTGAGCACTAGTTTTTTTCTCCCAGTAGCCATTTCTATACTCACCACTCAACTCAGTAAGGAATTTCAAACATGCCAAATGCAATTTTTCTTTCTCTTCCTTTATCAGAGAATGTTCACAAAGACATTAGTGTCAACTATCCATTCCTATCACATCCAATCAAAGTGACCTAAAGTTTCATTCCCTTTACTCCCAGACATACATGACATGGTTCAGAAGGGAAACAGGATCTGGGTAATGTCAAAGGTTCACCAGTGTTTGTAATTTCATAACCCTTGAAATAAGGAAAAGAAAGAATGGCAGGCAACCTTCCAAAACACCTACTGATATTTACTCATGGAAAACAAATAGTCTTGAGTGGGAGTTCCAAAGCCAGCATTCAACACAATTCACAAAGTATTTTCACCTCGAGCAGCTCATAACCTTACTAATGAAATCTGGTGAGCTTCAACTTGTTTTCCATGGTCTGTACAGAAAGAAGTACTTAACAGGAATCCTGCAGGAATCTTTCCCTTCAGACTAAATCACAGTCTGAGTACCAATAATCCTCATTTGTTTTAATAGCGTCGGCAATGATTTTGCTTTTTCCTAAATATTCTTGAAACCAGTACTATAATTTATTGTATATGCAGGAAAAACCTCATCTTCCAAAGGTCACAGACTTATATTCCTGGAGGAGGTGTCAGGGTATCTGCACATTACCAGTAGCCCCACAGAGATGAGTCAGTGCAAGAATCCCAGGCCTCCTACTGACGGCCACAGCCCAGTCCTGTTTATGCCAATTCTCGCCCTGGCTTTGGAAGTGGCTGTAAAACCTGTTACTTGCTTATCATCTTTGTGGCTCAGTTACAGTACAAAAAGGGGTAATTAATCCTTGGGCTGCAAACAACAGACTTGGGCGTGGGAAAGAGAAAAGAATTTTGAAAAAGTGTAAATAAACGTTGTGTCTTTTACAGTAAACCAGAGTATTACAGCCCCGCCCATGGGCCAGATTTTTAGAGAGCTCAAAATGCCCATGGCGCACACCACAATGCAGTCGAAAGAATTTGGAGCATCCATTCACTCATTAGCCGCAATTCAAAATTTCCTTGGCAAATGGGTTGACCAATCATCGCAGAACAGCTCTGGGCATTTGGGTGGGGAGAGGGACCCAGACTTCACCATCCATTCATGGAAGCAACACCATGTGGTGCCCACATGCAAACCGGACCAAGTAAAGCATATTCTGTGGCTACTTGCCAATGTGTCGTGTCCTCATAACCTCACCTCACATTTTTTAGGCTTTCTTAAGGATCATCGATTGATATTATAATGAAAACAACAACCATAAAAAGGCAGATCAAGAAAGTAACAATAAAACCACAGCAGCCATCTAAAATTGTCACACCATATTCTGCCTCTAGGGTTCCAGGACATGATTGGAGACCAATGAGACAAATACTTGGACTGATATCAGATGATCCAGCAATTTTATCCTAAACACCAATTCATGCACTAATTATGGATTTGATTCTTGACATGATATAAGGTATATTTTCCCGAAGTACAATTTGAGATTGCTAGCATTTGCTGGGGAAAAATACCATATATATGTCACATTTATTTTAGCAAATGAGGTTCAATAAAAAGTAGAAATAAAACTGATAAGTACAAAATAATATTTTAATAATATATGAACATGAACATGAAAACAATGTAAACAGGTCAGAATTTTTGATAGGATACTATCAACGTGATTTTGATCGTACGCAACTGGTAAAATTCTATGCAAAAGGATTAACAAGGCGTATCATAAGAAATCATTTCTTTGCCCAGTATAAGCAGTTCTCAGCACATACTCAAATGCACACAAACATGAAAATCAGAAATAAAGGAATGTTAAAAAAATAACTTAGGCAGACACAAATAAAACCACCCCACTAGCGTATGAATGATGCATGTGTTTATGATCTTAATTACATTTAAGGATTTTAAAAATGCCACTGATCTCACAGTTTACAATATCCAAATCTTCAAACCTGCCGGAGGAAGTCCACAGCGCAGCCTGGAAGTTGTATCCATTGCATTCTCTTGTGCAGTTACCTGTAAACCAAAAATCACAGTCACGACTTTCTCTAGGTTTAACAGGTATGTCAGTCAAAAAATAAGCTCCAATTCTGGAGAAGTTGATAGGGGTTGAAAAGGATATTTAATATCAAAATTTCATCATTTATGCTTATCTATAAGGGATCAAATCTTACCGACATCAAGCAAACAGAATCTTTTGAAAAATGTGTGATCCATAAGATCTTTCCTTTTAATTCAAAGCCAAATAAGTAGTTCAGTCTTTCACTGCACAAACAGGAAGGGTGTTTGATGGAATTACAGGAGGTAAACATAATCTGTGTTAGTGATGTCACTGGGAACCTTGGACTACAAAAGGTCTCATGCATCCCCAAAAAGAGCACTGAGGGTACTCAAGTCACTGTGAGTGCCGGATCACTGAGCTGTTGATCTATTCTGGTCTGGAGAACAACGCCAAACCCTGAGGGGAAAGGACTTTGAAGATGTGAGCTATCCTAGCAAGCATTGCAACATCTCTCTATCTTAAAGGAAGATCGTGTCTCCTTCACTCCATCACTGGGCCTCAAGACAACATCTTGTCCTCTTGTCCAGGTAAGGCCTGGACTTGCCATGCCCCTGCAGATCCGCTCATCTTTCTTTTTTTGAGACAGAGTCTTGCTCTGTTGCCCAGGCTGGAATGCCATGGTGTGATCTCAGCTCACTGCAACCTTTGCCTTCCAGGTTCAAGCAATTATCCTGCCTCAGCCTCCTGAGTAGCTGGTATTATAGGTGTGTGCCACCACACCTAGCTAATTTTTGTATTTTTAGTAGAGACAGGGTTTCACCATGTTGGCCAGGCTGGTCTTGAACTCCTGACCTCAGGTGATCCTCCTGCCTTGGCCTCCCAAAGTGCTGGGATTACAGGAGTGAGCCACCGTGCCCAGCAGATTCTCTCATCTTGTTCTGATAGTACAGACTAAGCACTGGGATGAGAAGGGGGGTGACTTCTTAAAGACATGCTACTTATTAAAAACAAGTCTTTTTCAAAACTTGTATTATGTCCAAGCATTTTAATAAAGACAAAGGCCAAACGAGGAGGCTCACAGGTACCACAACACAAACTAATCAGGAGACACCTGCTTATGGGCTGTACCTTCTGCCTTGGTATGTAGTCAGTTCTTCTTGAAGGATGGAGGCTCTCTTTTGCAGAAAATTAACCTAGAAAAGACACCTTGTGTGAGAAGAGGTGGACGTGGCTTACATGTCAATATTGTGCAAATAGTATGGTAAGATTTTATTTAAATTCAGACAATTCCCTAGATAAAACTCAGAGGATTTATTGAATGTCAATGTTGTGTTTTTTACATTTGGTCACATCCCATCCTTATTGAAAATCCATCAGATACGACAGAATAAAGTTCAAACTTCTCATTGCAGCGCCGTTTTGATCTGGCCCGCCCCCATCACGGTGGCTTTACCTGTCCTCACGCCCTGTCCACCACTGCTGTTTCTACACCATGTCTTTCTCACTCCATTGCTCTTTGGCCCAGGCCATTTTCTCTCTTTGGAACACTTGTCTTTCTGTCTCCTATTCATTCTCCACCATTTGGTTTAAATGTCATCTCTCCTGTGGAATCGTTCAACTCCTCCCCAACTGCTCCTTGCCTCCTAGCCCCAGGCAAAGCCAGTGGTCCCCTCCTCTGTGTTCCTCCCCTCTATTACTGGTACTCCTCACACTGCTTTGTGGGTATTTGTTTTCATATGTCTTCCCTAAGCCTGAGAGCTTCTCTTGGGCAAGAATGACTTTTCTGTCTCTCTAGCCCGGTTTCTCTTACAGGGCTGGGCATGTAGCTGGTTTCACTAGCTGTTGAATGAATGGAGGAGTGAGTGAGTGTAAAGAAAATTGCTGCTTTCTGGAAACCTTAGTCCATCCTAGGGATTCCCTGAGGTTGGAGAGACAGAACTTCATAGTGGAAAGAGCCTGAGCTTTGTCTGGAGTTGGGCCAACTTGGGTTCAATTCCTGGCTTGCCATTTGTGACTCTAGGAAAATTACTTAAGCTCTTGATGCCTAATCTGTGAAATAGGGTTAATGACAGCTACTTCCCAGGGTTATGAGGATGACATGAAACAACTAGAGAAATCACCTAGTGCTGAGCTCATAGCAGGTACAATTGCCAGACCACCATTCTTAGGGGGCTGGAGGAAACTGCGTTGTTTAGCATATTCTCTTCAATCAGACCTTTACAAAGCATTTGATTATTGTGAAGCATACATTTCTATACTATTAAAGATGCCTGTATCAGGCGTGGATTCAAAAGTACCTCACACAACCCAATATAAATGGTTTGGGGCTAACTTATACCATGGCTTAATGTAATCAAGAGTCAGTGGTATTTGATCATTTCAGAATTGTTTATTCTTGTGTCTTTGGTCTGAACTGAAACCATGGCAACGGTTGATCCCGAAACATAGTTATGCAAGAGAATACAGCTGGCAGAACAGAAAATGTGCTTGAAAGAGAAGAAAACACAGTCTTTCTAAATGGGTGCATCTCAAAGTGGTCCTCCTGGTTTTGCTGATTTGTATGGCACCCTCATCTTCATTTTATCCAATTGCTCAAGTGACCCATAGAACAATTGATAATTTTGACAGATGCAGGGATTACACTGATTCAACTTCCCTCCCCCAACCATACTCTGTAATCGGAATTCCAACAATTCTCAAAAAACAAAGGCACCTGTGCTTTCAAACTAAATTTGCTCACTGTATGGCCTGTGACTCCTCCGTGCAGCTGCCAACTCTGAGGCCCTATCGCAGCTGGCAGCACTCTCTTTCTGGGTCAGCCTGCAGTTTTAGGAGGCTGAAGTGGCTTTTATTACAGTGAAATGATATGAATGATAACAGAAGCCCTGCAGGTAGGTATCAGATTTCTTTTTTTTTCCTCTTCCTAAAAAAACCCCTCTGAAGGCGTCAGGTCCTACCTAGCTGACACTATCTGTAGCTCACCTACAAACTTAATGGGTAAACCACACCTGGAGTGGAGCTTTTCATGTAAATAAAGATTACTTAACCCTTTGTATATTCCCATTCTCCTCCAGTACTTATTTTTATATGCAGGCGTGAGCAAATTTCATAGCCCATAGAAGCAATCGGAAACAGTAGCATACGGATTGAGATTATGAACATTTCATTATCAGATTAGAGACTTTTTACTAGGGGAATATAAAAGGAGCAGCTAAAATGTGTTCCACATTTTATCTTACATATTATAAATAGATAACGTGGATATCATCAAACCATATCATTTATTTTATTCATAAATATATTTATTAAGCACCTGTTATGTGCCAGGCACAGTACTTGATACAGGGAGTAAAGAAATACTTTCTTTCCTTCACGGAATTTTTCAAGGAAAAAATATGTCTGAAACTTCAAAGTGGGCTGGGCACGGTGGCTCACGCTTGTAATCCCAACACTCTGGGAGGCTGAGGTGGGTGAATCGCTTGAGAGCAGGAGTTCGAGACCAGCCTGGCCAAGATAGTGAAATCCCGTCTCCACTACAAATACAAAAATTAGCTGGGCGTGGTGGCGTGCGCCTGTAATCCCAGCTACTTGAAAGGATGAGGCTGGAGAATCGCTTAAACTTGGAAGGCAGAGGCTGCAGTGAGCCAAGATGGCGCCACTGAACTCCAGCCTGGGTGACAGTGAAATTCCATCTCAAAAAAATGAAAAAAGCAAAATAAAATTCAAAGTGTATTGGAAATGTGAATATGTAAACTCTTTCTCATGATACCAACAATATGTAAAACAGTCAAACAATACAGAAGTATGTAGCAAAAACATGTTAGAAGTTTTCTCACATCATGAACCGCATCAAGAACCACGCATTTCTTTCTTTTTTTTTTTTTGAGACAGAGTCTTGCTCTGTCGCCCAGGCTGGAGTGCAGTGGCCGGATCTCAGCTCACTGCAAGCTTCGCCTCCCGGGTTTACGCCATTCTCCTGCCTCAGCCTCCCGAGTAGCTGGGACTACAGGTGCCCGCCACCTCGCCTGTCTAGATTTTTGTATTTTTTAGTAGAGACGGGGTTTCACTGTGTTAGCCAGGATGGTCTTGAACTCCTGACCTCGTGATCCACCCGTCTTGGCCTCCCAAAGTGCTGGAATTACAGGCTTGAGCCACCGTGCCCGGCCGCATTTCTTTTTTTTCTTTTCCTTTTTTTTTTTAGATGGAGTCTTGCTCTGTCACCCAGGCTGGAGTGCAGTGGTGCGATCTCAGCTCACTGCAACCTCTGCCTCCCAGGTTCAAGTGATTCTCCTGCCTCAGCTTCCTGAGTAGCTGGGATTACAGGCATGCACTACCATGCCTAGCTAATTTTTGTATTTTTAGGAGAGACGGGATTTCACCCTGTTGGCCAGGCTGGTCTCAAACTCCTGATCTCAGGTGATCCACCCGCCTCGGCCTCCCAAAGTGCTGGGATTACAGGCGTGAGCCACCGCACCCAACCATATTTCTTTTCTTTTTTGAGACAGAGTCTTGTTCTGTTGCCCAGGCTGGAGTGCAGTGGTGTGATCTCGGCTCACTGCAACCTCTGCCTCCTGGGTTCAAGTGATTCTCCTGCCTCAGCCTCCCAAGTAGCTGGGAGTATAGGCACGGGCCACCATGCCCAGCTAATTCTTGTATTTTTAGTAGAGACGGGATTTTGCCATGTTGGCCAGGCTGGTCTCAAACTCCTGACCTCAAAAGGTCTGCCTGCCTCAGCCTCCCAAAGTGCTAGGATTATAGGCATGAGCCACCACGCCCAGCCAAGAACCATACATTTCAACAAGAACTATTTAACCTAATTGTTTGAATACCTTGTCATTATTTTGCCTTGAACATAGAATGTATCTTGTTATCTCTAACGACCATGTAAAATACACCAGAATAAAAGTGCTTCTAACATAACTGTGCTTTCAATTTCTTTGCACATCTACACAGTGAGGAATTAGCCATATGCTAAGTGATGGCATTTTGGACCTGAAACCAAGAATAGAAGAATGAGGCTATATTGAAAGGTAGACTGTAAATGAATCGATGTTACAACTGACTGAACTTCTCAATTTTAAGGGTGCTTCAAAGAAATTCTTATTGAGACAATGAGTTATTAAACAATAAAAAAAATTAAAAAAAAAAACGAAAACAATTTATCCTGAGTAGCAGGTTATACAATGACATCACATTGATTTCTGGCATCAATTTGGAATCAGATTTATTTGCAAGTTTCTTTTCAGAGTATGTTTATCACCTAATCCTTGGAAAATGCCTTGATTCTAGTAATTACCTGTGATTTTAGGGAGGAAATGGTGTCTTCAAGTTCTTGTCTTAGGGATGCTGGCATCAACCCTTTCAATTTTGTTTCATATTCTTGTCGTATGTAAGTTATCTAAATTGGAAAAAAATTAAGAGTTATCTTTTTACCACATAAACGATTGTTTTGAATTTAAGAAGTCCCAGAATAGTATCTGTTCATCACAATGAAAGGTTTGTTACATGAGGTCAGAAACCAGACAATAAAGATGAAATAAGAAGAAGAGTTAAAAACTGAAAAGGCTGCCCAGCCTGACCCTGTGACTCTGAGAGAGACAGTCCCTGTAACAATACTTTCTTTAAAATCCTTGTGAACACAATTTTCAGCATCTGATAAGTTAAATAATTGTTTTCTCCTCTTCACTCATGAGGGTCCCCACTATGCTAGCCCTGCAGCCTCTCCTTGATCAGGATGTGAACTCCAGCCATACTAAGCTGTGATCTGAGGACAACTCATAGCATGTCTCCGCTTTGATTAAAATACTCCTTGAGGGTGTGGTGGCTCACGCCTGTAGTCCCAGCACTTTGGGAGGCTGAGGTGGGCAGATCACTTGAGCCCAGGAGTTTGAGACCAGCCTGGGCATCTCTAAAAAATATATAAAAATTAGCTGGGCATGGTGGTGCACACCTGTAGTCTCAGCTACCTGGGAGGCTGAGGTGGGAGGATCCTTTGAGCCCAGGAGGTCAAACCTGCAGTGAGCCAAGATCGGGCCACTACACTCCAGTCTGGGTGACAGAGTGAGACTTTGTCCCCCAAAACCCCCAAAAAATCCCTACTCCCCCAAACTGACAGGTAGTTGGGGCACTAAGTGTGATTCATATAATCATGAAGACATGAATGAAGGAGAATCTGCATAGCTGTGTCTCCAACCCCCTTTGACACAAGTAGACAGGTAGAGTGCACTGGGCATAGGAAGGTTCCTGGTTCCCTTCTGCCTCCTGAATACTATTGGGCCTGTGTTTAACTAACTGATGCTCACTGGGCTAGTAAAAAAAACAGGTTGGTGGCTCATCCCATTCATATCTCTCAAGGCTAAAGCAGTGAGTGAGAGGGTAGAAGAAAAGCCTTTGGAAGAATATGCCTGAGCAGGATGATGTGCATGGATGAGACATGAATATGCATGTGTAGATATTGGTGCGTTTTTCCAGCTGTGTTTCTGCATTTCTCTTCCTCCTACTATGAGATATGATAGAATTAATTATTTTTAAAATCTGTTGCATGTGCTGTGACTTAACCAAACATTAAAGCTGAGCTGCAGTGTATCATACCAAGTGATTCATCATACACACCTGGAAATAGGCAATATACTATGAAAATTGTGCACAACTGAGTTGAGTTGGATAAGCCTATCAATTTGCTGAAGATAATTTAAAATGAACGGTCTTTAAGACCCAACTTTTCTTACACTAAACTGAATTAAGGAAGAAATGTGCTTAACAATTCATTTCATTACCTACTAAAATCCTGTGGCCACTGTTCTAGAATACAAATTTTCAATTTTTGGCAAAGTGCCTTTTTTGGGATATGCTATAATCCTGTGACTTATACTTAAAGGAAAAAAAGAAATAATAAAATATGATCTCTCCCACAGATGCAAAGTCTTTGCTGATGAAATATCTGTTGATTCTCCTATCTATTGATTTTTCTCATCTTCTCTTCTTCAACTTACTTCCAAGTGAGCCAGTTCCAGCTACTCACTTACTTGAGTCAGTTAGCTGACTCAAACGAAGGAAAAATGCAAAGCAAAACACATGCTTTATAAACCAGACCTCAGGGTAACATTTATTGAGGGTTCGTGGGTTATATATAATTGTTTTTTTTCTATCACTCAACACTGGCTCTGGAAGTTTGAGTTTCAACTCTTTTAAAAACAACTCATGCATGCCCTATTCCCTTTTTAAACAAATTTTATTCTGTGTTTTATTACTGAAATACATTGTCCTACCCATCCCACCCCACAGTAAAAATCTCACCCAGGCTCCCTATTTCTTTCCCTCATCCCCTCTTCCCCACACCATCCCGGGACAAATGCTCCAAGGTTCCCTGCCCACTGGCCATTCTGGAGTGTGTCCATTAGGTAGTAATGTGGAAACCACCAGGGCCTTTGTGGAGAAAATGGAGGGGGTTGAAGGAGTCCCAAGAGGGCCTTATTTCAGGGCGTTGGACCCTTACTCATAGGCGAGCTTGATCTCATCATCTGGACAGGTGGAGGCAGATTTTTCCTGAACATAGGCATTGCTCAAGTACTGATGCATGCCACAGAAGGCCTCAGGGATGGTGAATCCCCGGTACTTTTTTTTTTTTTTCTTTTGAGATGGCATCTCACTCTGTTGCCCAGGCTGGAGTGCAGTGGCGTGATCTTGGCTCACTGTAACCTCTGCCTCCCAGGTTCCAGCAATTCTTTTGCCTCAGTCTCCTGAGTAGCTGGGATTACAAGCACATACCACCATACCTGGTTAATTTTTTTTTGTATCATTATTATTATTATTATTTTAGTAGAGACGAGGTTTCAACTTGTAGGCCAGGCTGGTCTTGAACTCCTAACCTCAAGTGATCTGCCCACCTTGGCCTCCCAAAGTGCTGGAATTACAGGTGTGAGCTATGACACCCGGCCCCCCAGCCCTTCTTACACACCACTTGTACTATGTGGAGCTTTGGCAACAGGTTGCAGTCAGCCAGGGTGAGCTCATTGCTATCCAGAAACTTCCTCTGAGAGATGCCTTCATCTTCAGCACTGGTTTCATCCACTTCTTCTGGGTGGGAGGATGTCAAGTAATTGTCTAAAACCTTCAGGGCTTTCAGGAGTCCCTTCTCCAGACTGTCACTTAGTGCTGGGTTTGAATTTTTGATGTAAGCAGAAAATCTGGCAAATATGTCCAGCTCAGCTGTGTTGGACTCAGGGTTCAGAGCTGACAGCTTGGGGTACCTGGGAGGGCACAGCACTGCCTACAGAAATTTCTCAGTCTTGTTGGTGTCCTTGTGCTCTTCCATGCCATACAGCAGGAATGGGAGCTGCCCTTCTGGGTACAGCTTTTGCACTATCTCGGTCTGCCTCTTGGTGTCAATGATGGTGACACTGAAGGTGACTCCCTTGAACCACAGCACCATGAACAGTCTCTAGGAGAAGGGGCAGTTCCCAATCTTGACCCCATCACTGCCAGCCTTCATGAACAATTCAACTTGCAGTTGTTCTTCAGCTATGGTTGCGCTAGGGACCAGAAAATGGCCATAGCTGGGGGAACTGGGGCATGCACTATTTCTTACATCCTTATCTGTTTAGAATGTCTGTTTTCCTAAGCTGGCACTCAGCAAGAAGGCCATGTTCCGTTTGAGTGCCAAGATGGTGAAGCCCAATGATGAGAAGCCAGGCAAGTTCAACTCTGACATTTTCCAGGGTCTTCTGAAGCTGGAGATGGCTTAGCTCGGTTGCATTTACAATGCAGTCTTTGAGGATTTGGTCTTCTCACATGAAACTGGATGGCAGCCAGCTCATAAAGGTTCATTTGGACAAAGCACAGCAGAACAATATGGAACACAAGGTCAAAACTTTTTCTGGTGTTTATAAGAAGCTCATGGGCAAAGATGTTGATTTTGAATTTCCAGAATTTCAACTGTAAACACAAATTATAAAGTATATTCACAGTAAAAAAAAGAACAAAGCCTATCCATTGCCTTTACATTTAAAAGACAACTTTGCTGGGTATAAAACTGCCTCAATCCCACTTTCTTTCTCTCATAACTTTGTGAACACAAAGATCAAGTTAGCTAGGCATGGTGGTGTGCACCTGTAGTCCCAACTACTTGGGAGGCTGAGGTGGGAGAATTACTTGAGCCCCTCAGAACATTTCTCCAGTGTTTTCTGGTATTACATATTGCCATGATAAAGTCTGAGGCCAATCCGATTTGTTTCATGTTGAATATAACTTCCTTTTTCTGCTTGGATGCTATGATTTTCTTTTGCCTTCATTTACTAACTTCACTGGGAAATGCTTTGATACTAATTATTTTATATTAATTTTCCTGAGACATTGTGTGTGCCCTTTCTACCTTTACATTCCATTATTTGAACAAAAGTTTCCTTTGTTAGAAGGATTATTTGTATTGTATTATATACATATATATTTTCCTGTTGGTTCTCTTCTTCAGAGACAAAAACTTTGCGAATGTTGGCTCTTCTTTGACAATCTCCCATAATTACACATTTTCTCTATTATTACTTTTACTTTCATATCATTTTATTTTGAGACAGGGTCTTGCTATGTTGCCCAGGCTGGTCTCCAACTCCTGGACTCAACCGATCTTCCTGCCTCAGCCTCCTGAGTAGTTGGAATTACACGCATGCATCACTGCACCAAACTCTTCTTATCATTTTATATCTATTTTATATTTTCATTTCATTTTATATAATAGCCTCTAGCCTAATTACTATATTTCCTTGGATGGTTTTAGTTATGATTTTTCTATTTTGGTTCTTCTACTATGGTTTCAATCTTTTGCTTTTGTCTACCATTTTTCCTAAGCCCCGAGAGATCACTTTTCATCTGTCTGTTGACTTATATAATCTTTAAATATGTCTCTTCTTTTTCCTACTTCTCTATCGCCCTCCACCATTTTCCTTGAGAGAGAGATGTTTAAATGTGTTTTGTGAATGCTTTGACACTGTGAAGAGCTGTTATAAAGAACTGTAATTAGTCTGAACTTTCCTCCTGTAATTTTCCATTTGATATACAGAACATTATTTGCTTACATTCTTTCTTCCCTTCTCTTTTAATCCAGCAAAGATCATATGCTAGTTCCTTTTTCCAAAAGAAAAATTACACCTCATTTTTGAATGGAACCAGCTATTTGCTGAGAGTTGAGGTGTGGCGGGGGTAGCTGGGGTCAGGCCACAGCTATGATTTGGTTTTGTTGTCTTCATTACTCTTTGACCAAATCTATGATTTCATTTGCTCTGGGGGCCTATGTCCCTCAGTTTTCAAGCACTTTGGAGGTCACAGCCAAGTACTTAAGCCCTTTGGTTCATGCTCATGGCTGGTTTCTCCTGACTCTCCTTCCTCCCGCCCTGCCCACTATTC